ATGTAGTTAGACTGTACTAAAAAGTACAGTGGAATACAAACACTGTAATCTTTTGTGTATTATATATGATTTTTTAAGAAAAAAGTGGTTGTAACTAACAAATTAATATAGAAACTAAAGAAAAATTTAAGACTACAATTTATAGGAGACTGAAATTATATGCAGTAAGCTCTCAATATAACAGACCCTGATGTAGTGGACTTTTAAAATTAAGGGCAAAATCCACTGGTTAAATAAGTTTAGATTTTTGAAGAGTGGGGGAGTGTGTTGTCTGGCACTAGATAAATATATTTAATGCAACCTGTTTCTCCAGATGCTGATTAAGATTCATCATACTTGTACACTTATTGTCAACATTATATTTCTACCCCCATTAATTATTATAACTAAAACTGACAGTGCAGTTTTGTATTATTTCTTCATATTAAAATTACTCTATTAATATACAGAGTTTTGTTACTTAACCCTTAAACTGTTCAAACATTGATCTGTGTTCACTTGCCAAGCACTGCAAATATTTTGAAAAAAAAAATTGTTTTTTTTTTAATTAAAGAGGGCAATTTTCTGTGTGTAATAAGACAAAAAAAAAATTAGGACCAGTGCTTACCGAGATATAAGACAGCGAAGTTGGTGCTGGATGCTCATCTGATGGCAACATCAAGTCCTGCTCCTTGCAGAAGTGTTGCTGATGTACCTTTTTTCTCATTTTTATTTTAATTTATATAATTTTTATGTTCTGATAATTACAATTTATAGTACAGTGGACCCCCGGTTTACGATCAGCTCCCAATGCGACCAATTATGTAAGTGTATTTATGTAAGTGCGTTTGTATGTGTATGTTTGGGGGTCTGAAATGGACTAATCTAATTCACAATATTCCTTATGAGAACATATTCGGTCAGTACTGGCACCTGAACATGCTTCTGGAATGAAATAATATCGTAAACCGGGGGTCCACTGTAGTTCTTGTGATTTCATAGCCAATCTTTGTTCTGACACTAATACAGTGGTCCCTCGATAATCGTAAGGCTAGATAGTCATAATTTTCGAAAATCGTAACGTTATTTTCATCAAAACATTGGCTTGCGAATCGTCGTTTGACTCGCGAATAGTCGTTCGTTTGACTCGCGAATAGTCGTTCGTCTGGGACGCGTATTCACGGCTGAGCTGCCTCGCCCTCCCTTCCCAGTCAGTGTGCCATTGTTTACCAGTGAGCGACGGTCCCCTCACTTGTTCTTACGAAATATTTCATAATATTCCATTCATTTTAGTGCTTGCAACTACTAAATAAGCTACCATGGCTCCAAAGAAAGCTCCTAGTGCCAAGCCTTTGGTAAAGAAGGTGAGAAATACGATTGAATTTAAGAAAAACATCATTGAACAATATGAAAGTGGCGTACGTGTCGCCGAACTGGCCAGGATGTATAACAAACCACATACAACCATAGCTTCCATCGTGGCCAAGAAAAAGGAAATCAAGGAAGCTGTGGTTGCAAAGGGGGTAAATATGCTGACAAAAATAAGATCACCAGTACTCGAAGATGTTGAGAAGTTATTATTGGTGTGGATAAACGAGAAACAATTAGCAGGAGATAGTCTTATGACGTCGATTACTGTATTTGTGAAAAGTCTAGGCAGTTGCATGATGATCTGGTAAAGAAATTGCCTACAACGAGTACTGATATTTGTGAATTTAAGGCCAGCAAAGGTTGGTTTGAGAGATTTAAGAACCATAGTGGCATACACAGTGTGATAAGGCATGGTGAGGCTGCCAGTTTGGACAAAATTGCATCTACAAAATTCGTAAGTGAATTCAAGGAGTACATAGAGGCTGAAGGACTGAAACCTGAACAAGTGTTCATTTGTGACGAAACAGGCCTCTTTTGGAAGAAAATACCAAAGAGGACCTACATTACTCAGGAGGAAAAGGCATTGCCAGGACACAAGCCTATGAAAGACAGGCTGACGCTCATGTTCTGTGCTAATGCTAGTAGGAATTTCAAAGTGAAGCCGTTACTAGTGTACCATTCTGAAAATCCCGGAGTGTTCAGGAAAAACAATGTTATGAAGAGTAAATTGTGTGTGTTTTGGAAATCTAATAATGAGGCATGGGTCACGAGGGAAATTTTCGTCAAGTGGTTCAGTGAAGTGTTTGGCCGTAGCGTGAAGAATTACCTCCTGGAAAAGAAATTGAATCTCAAGTACCTCCTAATAATGGACAATGCACCTGCTCATCCTCCAAACTTGGATGACCTAATTTTGGAGGAGTTTGGGTTCATCACAGTAAAGTTCTTGCTCCCGAATACCACTCCTCTCCTCCAGCCCATGGACCAGCAGGTCATTTCAAACTTTAAAAACTCTACACAAAAGCAATGTTTCAAAGGTGCTTTAATGTGACCTCAGACACTCACTTGACCCTAAGAGATTTTTGGAAAGAACTCTTCAGTATCCTCCATTGCATAAGCCTTATAGGTAAGGCTTGGGAGGGAGTGACTACCAGGACTTTGAACTCTGCTTGGAGAAAATTTTGGCCAGATTGTGTCCACAAGAGGGATTTTAAAGGGTTTGTGGCTGACCCTGATGAGCCTATGTCAGTTGTGAAATCTATTGTGGCACTGGGGAGTTCCATGGGGTTGGATGTGAGTTTGGAGGATGTGGAAGAGTTGGTGGAGGACCAGAACGAAGAGCTCACCACTGATGAGCTGCAAGAGCTTCAACAGGAACAGGTCGCAGGTCAGAATCTTGCTGCAGAGGAGGAGGAAGAGAGATGGAAGAAGTTGCCTTCTTCAGAAATTGAGGAGATTTTTGAAATGTGGGGAAAGATGGAAAGATTTATGGAGAAACATCACCCTGACAAGGCTGTTGCAAGCCATGTTGGCAACATGTACAGTGACAGTCTTGGCCCATTTTTGGGAAGTTTTAAAGAGACGCCAGAAACAGAGCTCTCTGGACACTTTTTTTTGCGAAACAGGACTCCAGTGACTCTCAAGCTGGTCCTAGTGGCATTAAGAAACAGAGAAGAGAAGTAACCCCAGAAAAGCACTTGGTACCTGAGGTGTTGATGGAAAAGGATTCCCCTTCTAAACAGTAACTAATCCAATCTCTCTCCTCCTCCAGTCTTCCATAAACTAAGAAGAATTGCCAATAAAGGTAAGTGTTATGCTGTTAATGTTTCATTCATCATGTCCCATTGTATTGTTTATGTACTATATCTATATTTCATGTAAATTTTGTTTTTGTTTTAATACTTCTGGGTGTCAGGAACGGATTAATTGTATTTACATTATTTCTTATGGGGAAAATCGATTCGAAAATCATCAGTTTCGATAATAGTCACACTTCCAGGAATGGATTAATTATGAAAAACGAGGGACCACTGTATTAGGTACTGAAATAGTACTCAAATAGTCACAAACACACAAACAGGTGAGCATCTTCCTTGGTCACCTACTATTGTCTAGAAATATATACAAAGTATTTATAGGTCCCAGCAATGTTTTAGACATGCTGAAGTATATATGAAACTCCTTGAAGCATTGTGTAAGACGAGTGTCACTCCACTGCTGACAGTGCAGCAGGGGACAGTGACACTTGATGATCGTGCACTGCCTTGGCTGGCTGTTTGTTTTCACTGTTACGTATAAACACGTCTGTTTCTCTATCTGTCTGTCTATTTGTCTGTTTGTGTGTAAGTCTGTCTAGCTTTGTCTCTTTATCTCTGTCTCTGCTTGTCTCTCTTTGTCTCAGAACCAACAGGTATTACACATGATGCAGAGTTGTCACGTCTGATTCCTGAACAAATGAAAATGCGTAGTATTACTTGCCAGTCATGCTTATTGTGCCTTACATCTACAAGTACAGTATAGCACTCTGTCTGGATTTTTTGGGTTATCCTAGGCAATTTACACTATGTATAATAACTATTTATGTGTATCTGTGAGATAGAGACAGAGATAGACAGAGATACAGAGACAGGCAGAGATACATACAGATGGAGATAGAGACAGCCAAAGCCAATCAGCCATCCAGCCAACCAGCCACCCGGCCTGCCAGCCAGCCACCAGGCCAGCCAGCCACCTGGCTTGCTAGCCACCCGGCCTGCTAGGCACCCAGCTAGCCAGCCACCTAGCCAGCCAGCCACCCAGCCAGCCAACCACTTGGCCTGCCAGCCACCTGGCCTGCCAGTCACCCGGCCTGCCAGCCACCCAGTCTGCCAGACGTTCCAGAATTTTCTCTTTACTTAGGGTATAAGTTATAGGACATCCTGACAGGATGACACTACCAGTGGTATCAAAATTAAAAGGATGTTGCACAAATGTTGTACATGGGTCATTATCGAGGCTTTTGATATTTTCTTGACCACTTGTGGCCACATCCATCTCAAAACCACTAAACTCGGAGTCAACATCACTTTCCTCTTAAAAAGGGAGAGTTAATACAACATGACATCAGTGAATCCCTGGTGTTTGTCATGCTCTTTGCTCTAGCTCGTGCTCAATTGAACTGGTGCTCCCACAAGGTTCTAAGTGGTCCCAGATTTTTTTAATACTGTGCTCATCGAGTGTTAAGACCCATTCTACACTGACCAGGCATCTCAGGCCAATCTTCCCAAATTTGGAGGCAGGGAAAATAAAACGTAGATCTACATTAGCAGTGCTAGCGATAAGAATGTAGATCTATGTTTGGACAGTTAAGGGGTTAAAATAATCATTACATTTAAGAATCATATCTACAAATAATTTAATTATTATATTAAACTTAGCTTTCAAATAATTTAACTTCAACTAATATAATATCAAGTAGTTTTAAGTTTAAGTTTTAGTCTGCCCAATATGCCCTGCATAATCAGGGGCTTTTCAACAAATTTGAAATAAGTGTGACCTAATTTAATAATATTTTAAAATAAAATTTGTTTAGATAATCTGTATATTTTGTTTTCAAGTTATTTTTTATATGAGGTTTGAGGTGTATAATTTCTGGTGATTATCACTCTTGGCAGGTACATGATGGAGGAGTATAAGGCAGGTTTTACACCTAATCCAGACATTATGTGCAATAAGAAGATTAAGTTCTCACCCTTTCTCCAGCGTGCACGAAAACAGTTTAACAGTGAAGTTATTGCAACCGGACATTATGCTCGATCTTCCTTTGGTGAAGACCTCGAGAATTATGATCCATCGACCGGTCAGTACAGTCATGTATAATATCCTTTTATCAGCAATTTTCTTTGCATGTTAACTAATCTGCAAATTTCTGTCAAGGGGATTATAATCTAAAAGGTTTTGATTATAAAACTAGTGCCTCAAGTCATTTAACCCTTCTAGTGGCTGTCACATAGTATTACGTCATTGATGCCAGGGTCCCTGATGTAGATCTATGCCTATTTCAAATGGAGCAATCTTGGGCTAAGCATTTCCTCAGGTTTAAAGTGCTAAAACACCTTATAGCATAAGAAATTAGTGTACATAGTGTTAAGCAATAAAAACAATTCATAACTGAAAAAGAGTAATAATTTGGCATCAGTAAATTGTAAAAAGTAAATATCGCTGGCACATTTATGCCACTGTTGCTGATGAGTGATCATTTTTCGCCAATTTCATCATACAGTGGAACCTCAAATTTCGAACTTAATCCGTTCCAGGAGCTAGTTCTAAATTTGAAAAGTTTGAAAGGCGAAGCAATATTTCCCATAAGAAATAATGGAAATACAATTAATCTTCTATTGTCCATGGAGAAGTGGAAAAGAATCTTTCCTCCGTAAGCCATGCGTGTCGTATGAGGCGACTAAAATGCCGGGAGCAATGGGCTAGTAACCCCTTCTCCTGTAGACATTTACTAAAAAAGAGAAGAAGAAAAACTTTATAAAACTGGGATGCTTAAATGTGCGTGGATGTAGTGCGGATGACAAAAAACAGATGATTGCTGATGTTATGAATGAAAAGAAGTTGGATGTCCTGGCCCTAAGCGAAACAAAGCTGAAGGGGGTAGGGGAGTTTCAGTGGGGGGAAATAAATGGGATTAAATCTGGAGTATCTGAGAGAGTTAGAGCAAAGGAAGGGGTAGCAGTAATGTTGAATGATCAGTTATGGAAGGAGAAAAGAGAATATGAATGTGTAAATGCAAGAATTATGTGGATTAAAGTAAAGGTTGGATGCGAGAAGTGGGTCATAATAAGCGTGTATGCACCTGGAGAAGAGAGGAATGCAGAGGAGAGAGAGAGATTTTGGGAGATGTTAAGTGAATGTATAGGAGCCTTTGAACCAAGTGAGAGAGTAATTGTGGTAGGGGACCTGAATGTTAAAGTAGGAGAAACTTTTAGAGAGGGTGTGGTAGGTAAGTTTGGGGTGCCAGGTGTAAATGATAATGGGGGCCCTTTGATTGAACTTTGTATAGAAAGGGGTTTAGTTATAGGTAATACGTATTTTAAGAAAAAGAGGATAAATAAGTATACAAGATATGATGTAGGGCGAAATGACAGTAGTTTGTTGGATTATGTATTGGTAGATAAAAGACTGTTGAGTAGACTTCAGGATGCACATGTTTATAGAGGGGCCACAGATATATCAGATCACTTTCTAGTTGCAGCTACACTGAGAGTAAAATGTAGATGGGATACAAGGAGAATAGAAGTATCAGGGAAGAGAGAGGTGAAGGTTTATAAACTAAAAGAGGAGGCAGTTAGGGTAAGATATAAACAGCTATTGGAGGATAGATGGGCTAATGAGAGCATAGGCAATGGGGTCGAAGAGGTATGGGGTAGGTTTAAAAATGTAGTGTTAGAGTGTTCAGCAGAAGTTTGTGGTTACAGGAAAGTGGGTGCGGGAGGGAAGAGGAGCGATTGGTGGAATGATGATGTAAAGAGAGTAGTAAGGGAGAAAAAGTTAGCATATGAGAAGTTTTTACAAAGTAGAAGTGATGCAAGGAGGGAAGAGTATATGGAGAAAAAGAGAGAGGTTAAGAGAGTGGTGAAGCAATGTAAAAAGAGAGCAAATGAGAGAGTGGGTGAGATGTTATCAACAAATTTTGTTGAAAATAAGAAAAAGTTTTGGAGTGAGATTAACAAGTTAAGAAAGCCTAGAGAACAAATGGATTTGTCAGTTAAAAATAGGAGAGGAGAGTTATTAAATGGAGAGTTAGAGGTATTGGGAAGATGGAGGGAATATTTTGAGGAATTGTTAAATGTTGATGAAGATAGGGAAGCTGTGATTTCGTGTATAGGACAAGGAGGAATAACATCTTGTAGGAGTGAGAAAGAGCCAGTTGTGAGTGTGGGGGAAGTTCATGAGGCAGTAGGTAAAATGAAAGGGGGTAAGGCAGCCGGGATTGATGGGATAAAGATAGAAATGTTAAAAGCAGGTGGGGATACAGTTTTGGAGTGGTTGGTGCAATTATTTAATAAATGTATGGAAGAGGGTAAGGTACCTAGGGATTGGCAGAGAGCATGCATAGTTCCTTTGTATAAAGGCAAAGGGGATAAAAGAGAGTGCAAAAATTATAGGGGGATAAGTCTGCTGAGTATACCTGGTAAAGTGTATGGTAGAGTTATTATTGAAAGAATTAAGAGTAAGACGGAGAATAGGATAGCAGATGAACAAGGAGGCTTTAGGAAAGGTAGGGGGTGTGTGGACCAGGTGTTTACAGTGAAACATATAAGTGAACAGTATTTAGATAAGGCTAAAGAGGTCTTTGTTGCATTTATGGATTTGGAAAAGGCGTATGACAGGGTGGATGGGGGGCAGTGTGGCAGATGTTGCAGGTGTATGGTGTAGGAGGTAGGTTATTGAAAGAAGTGAAGAGTTTTTACGAGGATAGTGAGGCTCAAGTTAGAGTATGTAGGAAAGAGGGAAATTATTTCTCAGTAAAAGTAGGCCTTAGACAAGGATGTGTGATGTCACCGTGGTTGTTTAATATATTTATAGATGGGGTTTTAAGAGAAGTAAATGCGAGGGTCTTGGCAAGAGGCATGGAGTTAAAAGATAAAGAATCACACATAAAGTGGGAGTTCTCACAGTTGCTCTTTGCTGATGACACTGTGCTCTTGGGAGATTCTGAAGAGAAGTTGCAGAGATTGGTGGATGAATTTGGTAGGGTGTGCAAAAGAAGAAAATTAAAAGTGAATACAGGAAAGAGTAAGGTAATGAGGATAAAAAGATTAGGTGATGAAAGATTGGATATCAGATTGGAGGGAGAGAGTATGGAGGAGGTGAATGTATTCAGATATTTGGGAGGGGACGTGTCAGTGGATGGGTCTATGAAAGATAAGGTGAATCATAGAATTGATGAGGGGAAAAGGGTGAGTGGTGCACTTAGGAGTCTGGAGACAAAGAACTTTGTCCTTGGAGGCAAAGAGGGGAATGTATGAGAGTATAGTTTTACCAATGCTCTTATATGGGTGTGAAGCATGGGTGATGAATGTTGCAGCGAGGAGAAGGCTGGAGGCAGTGGAGATGTCATGTCTGAGGACAATGTGTGGTGTGAATATAATGCAGAGAATTCGTAGTTTGGAAGTTAGGAGGAGGTGCAGAATTGCCAAAACTGGTGTCCAGAGGGCTGAGGAAGGGTTGTTAAGGTGGTTCGGACATGTAGAGAGAATGGAGCAAAACAGAGTGACTTCAAGAGTGTATCAGTCTGTAGTGGAAGGAAGGCGGGGTAGGGGTCGGCCTAGGAAAGGTTGGAGGGAGGGGGTAAAGGAGGTTTTGTGTGCGAGGGGCTTGGACTTCCAGCAGGCATGCGTGAGCGTGTTTGATAGGAGTGAATGGAGACAAATGGTTTTTAATACTTGACGTGCTGTTGGAGTGTGAGCAAAGTAACATTTATGAAGGGGTTCAGGGAAACCGGCAGGCCGGACTTGAGTCCTGGAGATGGGAAGTACAGTGCCTGCACTCTGAAGGAGGGGTGTTAATGTTGCAGTTTAAAAACTGTAGTGTAAAGCACCCTTCTGGCAAGACAGTGATGGAGTGAATGATGGTGAAAGTTTTTCTTTTTCGGGCCACCCTGCCTTGGTGGGAATCGGCCAGTGTGATAATAATAAAAAAAAAAAAAGCAATTAATCTGTTCCAGAAACCCAAAAATATTCACAAAAAAAAAATACATTTTATAGATAGTACAGTGGAACCTCAAAAATCGAACTGCTCCCAACACGACCAATTATGTAAGTGTATTTTTGTAAGTGCTTTTATAAGTGTATTTTTGAGGGTCTGAAATGGACTAATTTAATTTACATTATTCCTGATGGGAATAAATTCATGCGGTAAAGGCACTCGAACAGCCTTCTGGACCGAAGAAAGTTCGATATTTGAGGTTCCACTGTATTACATTATAGTTTTACATACACACAACAAATATAGTGTACAGTTATTAATAAATTTAATTTTTTTTTTTTTTTTTCAACAAGTCGGCCATCTCCCACCGAGGCAGGGTGACCCAAAAAAGAAAGAAAATCCCCAAAAAGAAAATACTTTCATCATCATTCAACACTTTCACCACACTCACACATTATCACTGCTTTTGCAGAGGTGCTCAGAATACAACAGTTTAGAAGCATATATGTATAAAGATACACAACATATCCCTCCAAACTGCCAATATCCCAAACCCCTCCTTTAAAGTGCAGGCATTGTACTTCCCATTTCCAGGACTCAAGTCCGACTATATGAAAATAACCGGTTTCCCTGAATCCCTTCACTAAATATTACCCTGCTCACACTCCAACAGATCGTCAGGCCCCAAGTATCATTCGTCTCCATTCACTCATATCTAACACGCTCATTCACGCTTGCTGGAAGTCCAAGCCCCTTGCCCACAAAACCTCCTTTACCCCCTCTTTCCAACCCTTTCGAGGACGACCCCTACCCCTCCTTCCTTCCCCTATAGATTTATATGCTTTCCATGTCATTCTACTTTGATCCATTCTCTCTAAATGACCAAACCACCTCAACAACCCCTCTTCTGCCCTCTGACTAATGCTTTTATTAACTCCACACCTTCTCCTAATTTCCACACTCCGAATTTTCTGCATAATATTTACACCACACATTGCCCTTAGACAGGACATCTCCACTGCCTCCAACCGTCTCCTCGCTGCTGCATTTACCACCCAAGCTTCACATCCATATAAGAGTGTTAGTACTACTATACTTTCATACATTCCCTTCTTTGCCTCCATAGATAACGTTTTTTGACTCCACATATACCTCAACGCACCACTCACCTTTTTTCCCTCATCAATTGTATGATTAACCTCATCCTTCATAAACCCATCCGCCGACACGTCAACTCCCAAGTATCTGAAAACATTCACTTCTTCCATACTCCTCCTCCCCAATTTGATATCCAATTTTTCTTTATCTAAATCATTTGATACCCTCATCACCTTACTCTTTTCTATGTTCACTTTCAACTTTCTACCTTTACACACATTCTGAAACTCATCCACTAACCTTTGCAATTTTTCTTTAGAATCTCCCATAAGCACAGTATCATCAGCAAAAAGTAACTGTGTCAGTTCCCATTTTGAATTTGATTCCCCATAATTTAATCCCACCCCTCTCCCGAACACCCTAGCATTTACTTCTTTTACAACCCCATCTATAAATATATTAAACAACCATGGTGACATTACACATCCCTGTCTAAGACCTACTTTTACCGGGAAGTATTCTCCCTCTCTTCTACATACCCTAACTTGAGCCTCACTATCCTCATAAAAGCTCTTTACAGCATTTAGTAACTTACCACCTATTCCATATATTTGCAACATCCGCCACATTGCTTCTCTATCCACTCTATCATATGCCTTTTCTAAATCCATAAATGCAATAAAAACTTCCCTACCTTTATCTAAATACTGTTCACATATATGCTTCAATGTAAACACTTGATCTACACATCCCCTACCCACTCTGAAGCCTCCCTGCTCATCCGCAATCCTACATTCTGTCTTACCTCTAATTCTTTCAATTATAATCCTACCGTATACTTTTCCTGGTATACTCAGTAAACTTATTCCTCTATAATTTTTACAATCTCTTTTGTCCCCCTTTCCCTTTATATAAAGGGACTATACATGCTCTCCGCCAATCCCTAGGTACCTTCCCCTCTTTCATACATTTATTAAACAAAAGTACCAACCACTCCAACACTATATCCCCCCCTGCTTTTAACATTTCTGTCATGATCCCATTAGTTCCAGCTGCTTTACCCCCTTTCATTCTACGTAATGCCTCACGTACCTCTACCACACTTACATTCTGCTCTTCTTCACTCCTAAAAGATGGTATACCTCCCTGGCCAGTGCATGAAATTACCGCCTTCCTTTCTTCCTCAACATTTAAAAATTCCTCAAAATATTCTCGCCATCTACCTAATACCTCCCTCTCCCCATCTACTAACTCCCCTACTCTGTTTTTAACTGACAAATCCATACTTTCCCTAGGCTTTCTTAACTTGTTTAACTCACTCCAAAATTTTTTCTTATTTTCATTAAAATTTCTTGACAGTGCCTCTCCCACTCTTTCATCTGCTCTCCTTTTGCACTCTCTCACCAATCTCTTCACCTTTCTTTTACTCTCCATATACTCTGCTCTTCTTATAACACTTCTGCTTTGTAAAAACCTCTCGTAAGCTACCTTTTTCTCTTTTATCACACCCTTTACTTCATCATTCCACCAATCACTCCTCTTTAAATTTAAATTTAAAATTTAAATTTAAATAAACATATAAAATAACATTTTTACTTACTTTTATTGAAGATTGGTGATGGCATCTGGAAGATAGGGAGGAGGAGAGAGGGAGTTGGGGTTAGTGTTTGGAAGGAGAATCCCCCTTCATAAGGACTTCAGGTATCAATGCCCTCTCTGGGGTTACTTCCCTTCTCTGTCTTTTAATGGCATTAGGACCAACTTGAGAGTCACTGGACCCGTCTCACAAAATAACTGTCCACAGTCCTCTGTTTCTGGTGCCTCTAAGATTTCCCTAAAATGGGACATGGTTCTGTCAGTGAACTTGTTGCAAAGATGGCTTGTTTCAGCTTGCTCAGGGTGGTACTCCTCCACAAACATTTGGACATCTTTCTACTTGGCGCAGATCTCCTTCCTTGGCCTATACCTTGACAACAACCTAAATTTCAGCACCCATATCCAACACATAGCAAAAAAAGTATCCAAAATGGTGGGGATCCTCTCCAAGATACGATACTACATACCGCAAACTGCCCTTCTCACACTATATCATTCACTTATATATCCATACCTCACCTATGCTATCTGTGCTTGGGGTTCAACTGCAGCAACACACCTAAAGCCAATAATAACCCAACAAAAAGCCGCAGTAAGAATAATCACTAAATCCCATCCCTGGCAACACACCTCCCCACTCTTCATAGATCTAAACTTACTCCCTGTTCAGAACATCCACACTTACTACTGTGCAATCTATATCTACAGGACATTAAATTCCAATATTAACCTTGACCTAAAATGCTTTCTTGATAGTTGTGACAGGATCCACAGGCATAACACCAGACACAAACATCTCTATGACATTCCCCGTGTTCGACTAAACCTTTACAAAAATTCAATGTATTTCAAAGGACCTAAAATCTGGAACACCCTACCTGAAAACTCTAGAACTGCAGACACATTCATCACTTTCAAAACTACAGTTAGAAAACATCTTATATCCCTGATCCACCCCGACAACTAACTACATGATAACCACCTGGTGGTTCAAAATTACACTCACTCACCCACTGACTATAAACCCAGAAATACTAATCTTAATCATAAAATAATCAATCCTAACTAGTCATAAGTTTGCCTATATTACTCAAATATAGACACCTTGTATTGTGCCAAAACAAAAGCATTCACATTGCTAAACTTAAATTATGATGTAGTCACTTAGCCTTAATACTATAATCTGTAAGGACTTAATGTTAAGAATTAATCTAAGTCTGCTCGAAATGCCTAGCCATGCTAGGTGTCCTAGTTGCCCCCTCTGTAATTAGTATTTTATAACATGTAAACCACAAAATACCCAAAACCTGTAAACCCCACATTGTAACCATTATAGAGAATAAACTTGAATTGAATTGAATTAATTTTTGAAGAAGGCACCTCATCCACTCCTTCTTCCTCCTCCTCTGAAACAAGTTCCTGAGCTGTGGTCTGATACTGTTCCAGATGAAGCACTTGCAGCTCTTCAGTGGTTAGCTCTTCCCTGTGGTCCTCCACCAACTCATCCACGTCCTCGTCACTCACTTCACATCTATGGTATTTCTCACTTTCTTTACCACAGGTGTTACCACTAGCAAGTTTCTTTGGGCCCATGGTAGCTTATTTCACAGTCCCACAAGAACTAAACACAATGAATTAATCGTAAAATGTTTGAATGTTCACTCAAGCATCAACAAAGCCAGACTGGCTCATGGCGCCTGCGCGGGGACACAGACAGAGCGGGTTGGCGGACAAGTCCGGTACCCGGCACTTGGAAAAAATGGGCGAGTTCGATAATGGGGACAAAGTTGGTTCGAAAAAAGCGGTCGATTTTCGAAGAGTTTCATAAGTGATATGATCGAAATTTGAGGTTCCACTGTACCATAAAATTGTATGGTTTTATCAGATTCTACTTATTGTGGTCTTACTCGATTCATAAAAATGCATTCTTTCATTTTATAAGATTTTTTTCAAGATCTTCCCACACACAGGAATTTTTTTCTGGGTATGCCACAGTTTAGGGGGTTAATTTCAGGCATGTCTTTTCATAAAAAAGGTCAAAGAATCAGACAGTATGGAAGACATATATTGGTAAACAATGGCAGAATCTGTGGCATGAACCTTATGTAAGATACTCAAGCATATGCCTGCCTATGTCATAGACCCACCTTGTAGATAAGGTTGGTTTGGAAATGATAAAAGAAATGTTTGAATAATTTTTTCATATGCCTGTGCTTCATCGTTTTTGCTACTGAAAAGTTTGAAGAGATGAGGATTCTGCTTATCATAGTTTTTTTTTTTTTTTTTTTTTTTTTAACACATCGGCCATTTCCCACTAAGGCAGGGTGACATAAAAAGAAAGAAAAAACTTTCATCATTCAACACTTTCACCTTCATTCATACATAATCACTGTCTTTGCAGAGGCACTATGATATGACAGTTTAGATGTCACTCCAAACAGTCAGTATCCCAACCCCCTCCTCTAACCCTTTCAGGGTCAAGAGGCCCTCTCCCAAACTTGTTCTCAAGGTCGAAACTTTCTTGGAATTTTTTTTGTTCTTATGAAAGGATAGAGAATCTTTTCCCGATCATAATGACGCCAAAAGTATGAAATTTGATGGAAAACTTACAGAATTATGCTCTTGTGAAGTTAGAGGTCTCAACGATGGTTACTCATCGGCAATTTCGCCCACTTTGAGCCCTATTTTTGGCCAATTCCAGTGTACTAGTCGACAAAAATCATAACTATTTCACTAGAACTCCATTTTTTCTACCGAATGAGTACAAGAAACCACCCATTTACCGATTTCAACTATCCAATAAAGTGATCAGAAATTAGCAATTTTGCCAATTTCACACAAATTTCAAAAGATGCCAATTTCCAAATAGGGTCCAGAATACACAAGACAGACATTCCTGGCACTAAAATAACATTTCCTCTGTTCATTAGTCACATCCTCATATACCTCTTACAATTCTTTTGCTTTCCACTTCGAATTTTTATTCTCACAAAAAAATAGAAGATTTACTGTTATGCAGACTACTGCATTAGTGTAGAAATGGTATAAATAATATCAGTTCACTTGTGAAAGAATATTAGACTCACCAGTTGACGTGTATTGGACGTGTGGCATGATTTGTTTACTTTTGAACTTTGGCAAAAATCGAACATTTCTGCTACTTTGAGCTCAATTTCAAGGTACTTTTCATTGTGAAACCAATCAAAATCATCTCAATTTCTGTAATATGTCCTCCATTCTATAAAATGAGACGTGGAAAATTAGAATACAAAAATAAGTACCATACGAAAATACAGTGCAAAGTCGCTGTTTTAATCCAAAAACACGGTTAGAGTTTTTTTTTTCTCATTACGCACTGTGTGCTGCAGGATTTTTTTATACTGTGCACACTGACCACATAGACCCATTCTTTCATATGTAGGCCTACCAGCTTTCTCTCACTAGATTTGAGGGCGCTAGAATTTAGGCGTACTAGTATGTCAAAAACCCTAGGGCGTAAGCCGTACTAGTACGGCTGAAACCTTGAAAGGGTTTTAACCCTTTCAGGGTCGAGAGGCCTTCTCCTAAACTCGTTCTCAGGGTCAAAAATTTTTTGGAAAAAAAAATTATTTTTTTTCTTATGAAATGATAGAGAATCTTTTCCCGATCATAATGACACCAAAAGTATGAAATTTGATGGAAAACTTGTGGAATTATGCTCTCGCAAGGTTGGTGGTCTCGACAATGTTTACACATCGGCGATTTCGCCCACTTTGAGCCCTATTTTCGGCCAATTCCTGTGTGCTAGTCGACAAAAATCATATTTATTTCACTAGAACTCCATTTTTTCTATCAAATGAGTACAAGAAACTACCCATTTACTAATTTCAGTTATCCAATAAAGTGGTTAGAAATTGGAAATTTTGCCAATTTCACACAAATTTCAGAAGATGCAGATTTCCAAATAGAGTCCAGAATAAACAAGACAGACATTCCTGGCACTGAAATAACAAGTTCTCTGTTTGTTAGTCACATCCCCAGGCCCCTCTTACATATTTTTTGCTTTCCACTTTGAATTTTTATTCTCACAAAAAATAAAAGATTTACTGTTATGCAGACTACTGCATTAGTGTAGAAATGGTATAAATAATATCAGTGCACTTGTGAAAGAATATTAGACTCGCCAATTGACGTGTATTGGACGCTTGGCATGATTTGTTTACTTTTGAACTTTGGTAAAAATCGAACATTTCTGCTACTTTGAGCTCAATTTCAAGATACTTTTCATTGTGAAACCAATCAAAATCATCTCAATTTCTGTAATATGTCTTTCATTCTATAAAATGAGACCAGGAAAACTAGAATACAACCATAAATACCATACGAAAATACAGTGCAAAGTCGCTGTTTTAATCCAAACACACGGTCAAAGTTTTTTTTTTCTCATTATGCACTGTGTGCTGCAGGATTTTTTTTATACTGCGCACACTGACCACATAGACCCATTCTTTCATATGTAGGCTTACCAGCTTTCTCTCACTAGATTTGAAGGAGCTAGAATTTAGGCATTCTAGTACGTCAATAACCCTGGTGCGTAAGCCGTACTAGTACGACGGAAACCCTGAAAGGGTTAAGAGGAAAGTGATGTTAACCCCAAGTTTAGGGTCTGTCGATCTCTGTCTATCTCTGTATTTCTGTCTATCTGTCTCTGTCTCTATCAGTCTCTATCGGTCTCTGTCTGTCTGTGTCTGTCTCTGCCTTTATCTATCTGTCTCTATCTCTTTCAGTCTGTCTCTGTCTATCTCTGTCTCACAGGTACACATAAATACAAGTATATGTAGTATAAATTACCTAGGATAACCACTAGAATTTTTTAGTATATATGTATGTCAAACACATTGGCTTGTAAGATGTATACAGTGGACCCCCGCATAACGATCACCTCCGAATGCAACCAATTATGTAAGTGTATTTATGTAAGTGCGTTTGTACGTGTATGTTTGGGGGTCTGAAATGGACTAATCTACTTCACAATATTCCTTATGGGAACAAATTCGGTCAGTACTGGCACCTGAACATACTTCTGGAGTGAAAAAATATCGTTAACCGGGGGTCCACTGTATATATATATGACTGAAACAGCCAGAGGGTTAAAAAAAAATTATTTTTTTCTTATGAAAATGTTAAGATTAATTTCCTAATTGTTTTAAGCTCCAAAACCAATTTTTGCAATCAGTACTTATGGAGATATAGAGGCATAAAGTTGGCAGAAAATGAGCCATGTATGACAACAGTGGCGAATGCCGCTCACCCCGGTAAACTTTTTTTGCTCCCATTCAAATGTATCTTGCTTTTTTTTCCGCTATTTGTTCAGGTAACTTGTGTGGCCTGTAAGACCAAAGTAAGGTGCAATGTACATATATACACTCGTTGTATACAACACAATAAGCGCACAAACATAATTATGAATACATTGTTTACAAAACTTGTTTATGCAAACAAACAATACAAAAAAATGTTTATTACTATTGTTCTGTAATATATATATACAAGTGTACAGTCACTGGACATGTTCCTAGAAGTTCTGCAGCTTGTGGAACTCTTTGAAACATGATTTCATACACAATGGGGTTTTACACTCCTCACACATAAAACGAGTGTCTGCGTTTTTGTGGGCTTTTTTTTTTGTTTGTTGTTATAATGTACACAGACAAAACACCTTGTCTGAGCACTTTTCTTCATAGGAGTAACAGACAATTGTGTTAGGTAGTTATCCTAGGTAAATGTGTCATCATTTCTTCCTACCTACCTACCTTTCTTTCTGTCCTCATTCTTTCCTTCCTTCCTTCTGGTTTCTAAAATATAGGTATACAGGGACCCCCACCTTACGATGGCATCATGTTACGTTAAATCCACCATACGATACTTTTTTTTAACGCAAAAATTTTGCCTCGCCTCACGCTAAAAAACACACCTCACGCGATTCGTCCAAGATGCAATCCCACGTGTGGCCTGAGTGTGCCAGTGTTTACATGCCAGCCAGTGCGGTCGCATCCCCTACAATCAGAACATTTCATATAATCACAGCGTTTTTAGTGATTTTACCTGCAAAATAAGTCACCATGGGCCCAAGAAAGCTTTAGTGCCAACTGTGCATTAAAAATGGTGAAAATTACTAGGGAAAAAGAAGAAAGAGATAATTGCTAAGTACGAAAGTGGAGTGTGTGTCTCGGAGCTGGCCAGGTTGTATACGAAACCCCAGTCAACCATCGCTACATATTGTGGCCAACAAAACGGCAATCAAGGAAGCTGTTCTTCCCAAAAGGTGCAAGTTTGTTTTCGAAACAGAGATCGCAAGTACTCGAAGATGTTGAGAAGCTGTTATTGGTGTGGATAAGCGAAAAACAGATAGCAGGAGATAGCATCTCTCAAGCGATCACATGTAAAAAGGTGGGAAATATGTACTATCGTACCACGGTCAACTGCTGCTGCACCACAGTCAGCTGTTGCTGCACCACCATCAGCTGTTGCTGCACCACAGTCGCTGCTGCTGCATCACTGTCAGCTGTTGCTGCACCACGATCAGCTACTGCTGCACAGTCAGCTGTTGCTGAACCACGGTCAGCTGCTGCTGCACCACGGTCAGCTGCTGCTTTCCAACCACCGTCAGCTGCTGCTGCACCCACCGTCAGCTGCTGCTGCACCAATGTCAGCTGCTGCTGCACCACTGTCAGCTGCTGTTGCACCACTCAGGCTGCTGCTGCACCACCATCAGCTGTTGCTGCACCACGGTCAGCTGTTGCTGCACCACGGTCAGCTGTTGCTGCACCAGTCAGCTGGGTTGCTGAACCAGTCAGCTGTTGCTGAACCACAGTGAGCTGCTGTTGCACCATGGTCAGCTGCTGCTACACCACAGTCAGCTGCTGCTACAAACCCCCATCATCTGTTTTCTGCACCATGGTCAGCTGCTGCTGCACCAAAGTCGCTGTTGCTGCACCATGGTCAGCTGCTGCTGCACCACAGTCAGCTGCTGCTACAAACCCCCATCAGCTGTTGCTGCACCATGGTCAGCTGTTGCTGCACCAGTCAGCTGTTTGCTGAACCAGTCAGCTGTTGCTGAACCACAGTGAGTGCTGTTGCACCCACGGTCAGCTGCTGCTGCAAACCCCAGTCAGCTGCTGCTACACCACCATCCCCTGTTGCTGCACCACAGCAGCTGCTGCGCACCAAAAATCAGCGTTGCTGAACCACGGTCAGCTGTTGCTGCACCACGGGCCCTGCTGCTGCGCACCACAATCAGCTTCTTTCTGCACCATGGTCAGCTGCTGCTGTACCCCTGTCCAGCTGCTGCTACACCACCATCAGCTGTTGCTGCACCACGGTCAGCTGTTGCTGCACCAGTCAAACTGTTGCTGAACCAGTCAGCTGTTGCTGAACCACAGTGAGCTGCTGTTTTCACCATGGTCACTGCTGCTGCACCACGTCAGCTGCTGCTACACCCCCATCATCTGTTGCTGCCACCACGGTCAGCTGCTGCTGCACCAAAATCAGCTGTTGCTGCACCACGGTCAGCTGCTGCTGCACCACAGTCAGCTGTTGCTGCACCATGGTCAGCTGTGCTTTCACCACAGTCAGCTGCTGCTACACCACCGTCACTGGTTGCTGCACCATGGTCAGCTGTTGCTGCACCAGTCAGCTGTTGCTGAACCAGTCAGCTGTTGCTGAACCATGGTGAGCTGCTGTTGCACCACAGTCAGCTGCTGCTGCACCCAATCAGCTGCTGCTACACTATCATCATCTGTTGCTGCACCCCCAAAGTCAGCTGTTTCCTGCACCAGGCCGTGTTGCTGCACCCGGGCAGCGGCCTAGTGGCATTAACCTTTTACTGTCGCAGGCCCTTTCTGAAACT